TGTTGAAAGGAACAGGGCAAATAAGCAGTATTGCCATAAAATGGGCGCAGCACAAAGGAACAAAATGCACCGACCACTTGACTTTCCTCTGAGGTAAGGGCTGCTGTTCTCCACTCCAATCCACCAAATTACTCCTGCAAAACTTGACCTTTACGACTGTATCCCTGACACTGAAAAAAAACTGCTCACAGAAGAAAAAACAACCTGCACATTTGAAAGACAGGTTAGGAACCTGTAAGCATGCTTAGCAAGCCTGTTTCTATTGCAGATGAAAGATGCAATCTGTGTTTCATTTTAAACATCCTCTCACATCCTTTAACTTCTAATCTAATAAACCTTAAGGAGGTAAGTATTGCAGTGATTGCTTAATTGTCCCCATCATCTGCAGGCAGATAATCCAAACTACTGACCTTACTTTTTGATGGTTTGGGTTTTTTGTTTTGTTTTGTTTTATTTTTGGTGGGGATTATGTTTTGTGTGTGTGTGTTTGTGTGCTTTTCTAAAGAGACAGAAATACGCCAGAGCAACTTGACTTTAAGATGAATACGCATTCACACTACACAAAGCATCTCAAATAGTCATTCAAAGCCAACCTACGAGCAAGGGCTTTGACACAATCGACACAAATCTAAACATAGAGGCCCGTTTCTGAATCATACTCCATTTCATACACGGTAGGATGGGGAGAATTAGAATGAAGAGAACCTATCCATTAGACAACTTAGCATACATTTCCCTCCTGATAGTTGAGTGACATACACTTCTCTGGACAAAGTGAAAGTTGCTTGCAATTGGCTCACGAAAGAAAGGAAATAATTCTTGCAAAGGCTCTCCTCCTTTATTATCATGGGATCCAAAGTTATGTTTCCATTAGCCCCAAAATATCTGTACCAATTCAAAAACCTCTTTTAGTAGAGGACATATCCTCCCTGAACTGGAAGAACGGTCAATCCAGCTTTGATTTCTGAAGCTCTGATACTGAGCAGAAATTTATGTGCATGTTCGTAACACCAAAAGACCATACAACATGGCCTGTTTGGTACCACTACCTACAGAGCGTCTTTTGCTGCCAAGCATGTTATCAGGAGATCTTAAATACTTAATCCTTACGAGTACACATGAACCTTATTTCCCACTTGCTGGTATTTCCCAGCTATGAGTTCTGTAATCACTGCACTCTTAGCAGCAGATAAAGCACAGCTCAGTTCTACCTCAAGATTGAGTTACTGTGATACTTCTGTATTTAGGGAGCTGTAAATCACCTATGATGCTGCAAACTCTGACCCACAGTAAAAAGCAGTACAGAATTCATGCTACAAATCACCTTCCTCAACTTTAACCAAAGATCAGCAAAATACTTTAGCTGCTTAGCTGCAAGATTACAAAGGAATGAATCCCAATTATTTCAAGTGGACTTGAAAAGTACAAAGCATGACTGCATCTATTATCCTAGGTTCATCTGGCATTGAAAGAAAGAAGCTGACATACAAAGTGTAAGGGGTCTAAAGGAAAAGAAAACGGCAAGAAAAGCACTACACCCTGTGACAATACAAAGGCCACAGTGGGGGGAAACAACAGATACTAGTATCTATCCAGCCTCGCATCAAGAAACAAAATCCAAACACAAGAGGCCTGTCATAGTACTGTCATCCCCAAATTCTTTGCTTTGCATTTTTGTCTGTGTTTAAAACCATTAAAATGGAACAGAGGGGGGAAAAAAAATAAAAATAGAAACCTTTGACTCCAGAGCTATAGACTAGGATGACTGCTTGCTGTTTCCCCATAAAATCTCATGACAAAATTAAACCCTTCAGGAAGACAAGTCAAGCTACACTGAGCTATAAAGCTCAATTATGAAATAAAAGTGCACAGAACATAATATTCTCTCAATATCCTAAGAAATCACAATTATAACCAGATGTGAGAGTGTAAGAATATGAATATTGTTTATACAGCTGTAGAAAATCAGGAATGCAAGATAGCAACATCAATAAAAGTGCCTTAATTAAATGCAAGCTGCTGAAACACAGAAGGCCTCCCAGAGTAGCATTTCCTTCATAAAAATTTAGATTTACTAACAAGATGCTCAGCAATTTAAAATGCTAAGTTGATAGAAACACTATGCAAGGAAATTGGGTCATCCAGTATATGCTAAGGGTAGTGATGCTACATTTTTCCAAAGCATCAAAATGAAGGTGAGAAGAGGCCGTCTTGTTTTTCCAAAGGCCATATGATCCCCTGCCCACACTCATTAATAAGTCATTTAAGATTTCAAACTATCAAAGCTTTTATCTGAAATTCAGTATGTCTGTTTACTGTTATCAATGAGATTGTGGAAGAGCCAAAAGCAAAGCAATAGGAAAAAACAGTAAATCAGTTACTTCTGTTATTCATGTCATCCCTGTATTTTTAAGTCTATGTTAATTCTAGAATGTCTACAGACAGTATCAAAAGAAGATGAACACACCTGGATATTCATTTATGTGTATCTAATCCTCTGTGCCTGCACAACAGAAAGGTCTTTTCATCAGCCCTCAGTAAGATCAACAGATCAGCCAACACTTCTGTACAAAAACTAGGGGGGCAGGCAGGGGGAGGGTGACACAATAAGAAAGCACAGGGGGATGAGTCAGCCAAAGCAGTAGAAAACAGGGTATTAGTTCTCAGTGTTTTGAGAAAAAAGAGGGATCCTACAAAAATCTTTCTGCATAAATTTACATTTTCTCCGACAGAATGACATCTATCTATAAATCCTATACAAGTTTTGAAATAGAGCTAGAGTACAGTGAGCCTCAAATATTTATACTATTTTAAGTTTTAAAGTGAAGGGAAAATACTCTTTAGGACAATCCTAAATTTGAGGAGGGCTCTAAACAGGGGTAAGAGCAATTACAGAATACATTTTCCCTGTTACCTACTTAAAATGTAAAATATATGTACATTAATAAAGTGAAAGTTCTTTATTGTGCTTGTGAAGGACAATTCCTACATCCATCACTTCTCACTTCTGACGTTCATGTAAACCCAATAGCTAGAGTGTAAGTTACAAAGTGACAGTCTGAAAACATCTTGTTTCCACAGCAATTTCCTTTTGGTAATGGCAGCTTCAATGCAAGTGACAGCCAAACTTCTGCATTTGGAATTTCAAATGATCTAATTGAAAGGAGTTGAGTTTTAGGAACAACTATGTGAAAGTTTTAAGAAAAAAAAAAAGGGGCATGACACTGGATAAACACTTATCCATCTTGGGCATGAACTCAGTAATGTTTGTGAGAATATAGATGAAAACAGCAGGGGTCTGGTATGAGTAGTTAGAGAATTGCTCCTGTTTGGTTTTCAAAAACAACAGACAATACAAGATTTTGATTCTTAAATTTATTTTTAGCAGGATATGTGTACTAATGGATGGTGACATCATTAGAAGATAGGTCCGTGTCCACCACCTGCAACAGAAGCTAGACAGATGTTAAAGAAAACCATTTAAGAGTTAAAGATGACACTACTTACCCAGAGCAGACCTAAGTCACCTAATTAAGAAATATAGTTAGTTATTGATGAAGACATAATAGCTCTTATTTATCTGTTGTCAGAATTTTCTATCAAGACTTAATGCATACATTACCTTGATTTTGATGGGAATCATGCACTTCTGTTTACAAACAACTGTTAGAGAAACTTACTATTATTAAAAAAATACTCATGGAAAGATTGGTTATTCAAAGTTACTTACCTGTAAATATTTTTCTTCAGAAAATAAAGTATCTGCAAATTTAGGTCTAAAGCTCCCATCTTAAGTTTAAAGTTAGCAAGAATTCTCTGGGAATTCAAATTCTAATATTGTTAAACCAGATCAACAGCAAGTAACATTTCTACGTTCTGCTAAGAATATAACCACTTGTTTCTTTCCATACCTGGGTATTTAACAAATAGGTAGGATCTCAGCAATGTAGTTACAGATTAGCAATATTAATTCAGAAAGAAATGAAGTCTTGATACAACCCAGAGATCACTTTATACTAAAATGTCAATTGACAGAAGTCTAACAAATGAAACAAGCTTTTCTAGAACAAGTTCATTTGACAAGAAATTAAACTTACAACAGCAAAACCTAGGGAGAGACAGTTCAGGAAACAGAGTCTCAAAGAATTAGGTGACAGTCCCTTTCCCAGTGCTATTTTAAATAAAAAGGCCAAGAAGCAAGGCACAGTCTGAGCTATGATATTTTCTAAGACTGTAAAAACAGAGTCCTTGCTTCAGAAAATGCATCTGGCTACAGGTATTTTGTATTTACATCAGAAGAGAGCAATTTCTTTAAAGTAACAAAAAAAAAAAAACCAACACCAAAACAAACAAACAAAAAAGGTAAACTAAGTCAGCTGGCCCTACAGACAGTACCATGAAGACATCCTGATCTTAGACTTCAAAACTTTGGAACGTTTACCAGCCTGAAATTCCCAAAACAAAAGGAACTACTGCTAATGAGCTTAAAGCCACTTTACTTAACACAAGTTTAGAAACTTGATTTTAAGGTTCTTGTTCTTTCTTGGTTCATAATTCTTTACTAGTACCCTGGGTTACTTCACCTTGGCTCATAGTTCTTTATTAAATAACCTGCATTTATACCACACTGATTAGCCTAAAAACTTTCTTGCAGTTTACCTCAACATCCTAGAACTTCATCTCGTTAAAACAGACTGCTACGGGTACTATATACTGCTTTCTATCTGCACTACTAAAACTAAGCCTGCATGTATAATGAAAACTAAATAGGCTGGAAAAAAACAGACAAACACTGAAGCAATTACAGTTGTAACATTACCTAATGTTGAGCTGGTTTAACATTTGGAACACAAGAACATTGTTAATAATGTGCTGGAAGCAAAGATCTAACAGTGGCAATTAAATATTTACTTTTGGAGAGAAAAGTTGTTTAGGCAAACTAAAAACATTTGCAAGAACAAGCTTTAGCGAAGAATGGACTAAAACAAAACATTACGCACTTCCAGCTTATGTTCCTTCTCTGCAAGGAATTCTTTCTGACATCGGAGAAAGTCTGACAACATTCGCGTTAGCTGTTTTCTATCATCTATTTCAGCAGCCAACCTGCCATTGTAATCCGCCAGCAACATACATGCATCATCTACCATTTTGGAAAGTTGTTCTCCAGACTCCTTATCTAAAAAGCAAGCAGAGAAAAACAAGTAAAGCTGTATTTCACTATATACTGTTAAGTTCTCAGAACCACATCTCAGTTACTGGGACCCAAACCCTCACCTGTTATTCTGTCTAACAGGGACACATCCTGGACCTCTATAGGCAAAGAAGCTATTCTCTGATGAACTGCTGCATCCCCAGAGGCAGCGTTTTCTAGTTCTTGTAATGCTCTAATGAGATCTGTGGTCTGAAAGAAGCATGCAAGATTGAAAACTAGTTTAAATAAACAGATCCTAGTACAAAACAGTATTTCACAATAAGCTTATGGAATAAATTTGATGGTAATTTTAGCAGCATTTATGATGTCAGCATAGCAATATTTTATCCCCTCTCAGACTGGAAATAAAACAAAGTCAAGCCATTATTTCTCAGAACACTGCAGTGTTCCTAGTTTTAAAGGTCACCTTCCTAAAATAGATACTTCATTTAAATTATTGATGCAAGACTACTTCCAAGTCTTTTATTTTTGGCATTAGTGATAATTTTACAGTACCTTTCATTTTACTATACATTTTCTACATTATTTTTTTTGTAGCTTTGCTTCACTATTGTACCAGACTAGATCAGTGCACTTCTTTTGGAAGTAGGGCTGATGTTCATAGAAGCCCAGATGTTTGTTACAGAGAAACATACTAAATTGTGATTATTTGAAGGAAGCCATTCTTGCCATAATAAAATGGCTTTTGAGATGGGACAGTATCACTAAAAAACAAACAAAAAAACCAAAACCACAAGAACTATAAAAGCCATAACAATGCTAGGTAGACAAGAACTTTCCCCAACCATCTTGATTGCAACATTGAGAAGTATTTTACTCCTAAATCGACAATAACCTTATTCTAATACATGTGTTACTTGTTACCGCTCTGGAAACCAAATGAGAACTTGAAACGTTGTAGAAGCTAATGCTGAAATCCTGCTGCGCACAAAGCTGGGTATCTAGTTGATACACTCCGGTTTAGTGTCAAACTGACTTAGGGTTACAAAATGCTCCACCTGTAACCCAAAGTACTGTGAAGGAGTTTCAGGTCTAGTCAACCTTGCTCAGAAACCGTTCATTCAAAAGAAAAGCAGAGACCACTAAAAACCAAGAGTAACTGAAAAATTCTATGCCAAAACATATGCAGACAGAATTTTACAAACATGTTTTTACCTGAGGAGGGTCAGAGGGAGAACTTCGAGGTGAACAGTTATTTTCATCAACTTTTATCTGTTCATACGTGCGCTTCCTCACCTTTCTGTCTCCATCTAAATAAAAACAAGCACAGCAGTCAGGGAAATAATATTCTAAAGAAAAGACTGAATTTTCATACACACATAAAATACTTACACAAAGCTTGCCTAAGTTGCTCTAACACATCGTTTTCATAAACAGACCTTTCTTCCCAGATAGACAGCACTCGGCCAAGGTGCTTCTTACAACTCTCGTCAGACTCACTGTTACAAGAAAAGCAAAAATCAGCACTAGGTGAAAGTACAGCACTGCTGTAGGATTATGTCACATAAGGACTGTGACATGCCTTAGCAATATCAAAGTATGAGAAGGCAATCTCAGAAAATAGCAAAATCACATTTTAAAGAAAATAAAGCAAAGACCAGTTCAACACGTCTTAGTAAGCATAAAAAATGGGCCAGCACCCAATTCTCTTTCTGTTTGCTTGCTTGACCCATGGATCTGTAGGTGTGTAGCCCTATTACACAAACACTGCAAACAGGTTTGTGTTGCATCAACAGCTGTGTACCATGTGAAAATAATTCTGTATCTAGAGTCTAGAATCATCATGCAACAAGACGAATGGCTGCTGGGGAAAAACAAATCATACACCACCAGTAACGAAACACACCAAACTGCTGTAGCACATAAAATACAGACTGAAAACAAGCCTTAATACAGCTAACAGCTTTCTAAGGCAAAGGGGACTGAATGCAGATGAATTTACTATGCAACTTCATCCAATATCGTTAAGACTGAGATCAAAAGAACACTGAATAAATCAAATTAACAAGACTTCCAAGTACAGAAATAGCACACAAAGACTAGCTGGGTCAGGAGAGATGCACTGATGACTTCTCTATTACCCCTCAAATACAGTACGATGAAGGACACTGCACATAACAGTATACTGTACCTTGAAACATGCTTAAAAGCCTCCACTATTACCGGAGCAAAATCTTTTGTGAATTCTGGTCCTTTCCTTTTGCTGTTCTGTATGACATCATTGGCCAAGTACAGGAATGTCAGCTTCCTACTTGGTTTTGCTAATAAAGAGAGTGATAAACAAGAATAATTAGAAAACTTACACAAATTAATACCTCTTTATCCATATTTATGCTAAATACAAAAACCAAATCAAGCATGTTTTTCCTATTCTCATTACTGCTTACAACATTTCACTCTAGTTCTGTATTTAAAAATGTGAGAAGACTTTGGTCACCCATTGGCTTTTCCCTCCCTTCTGCTGTAACTCTGCCCAGATTCTTCCTCCTTCATAATATGAGCTCCTTCTAGCACCATCTCCAAAAATAAACAGAAAACAACATGACACTCTATAGTGTTCTTCAGTCCCCAACTATTTTCACATGCTTTCCTGAGCCTTATGTGATTTGTGTCTTTGGTAGCCTTCATGGATTTCTTTCCAGTACTTTAACTTCCCTTTAAGCTTGAATTTCTGACACCAGTGAAGTCTTTTGCCAAGGAGTTTCAGACCCACAAACACTTACATGAAGAACCTCCTCCTTCCAGTTTTAATTTCAGTCCTATATAAAACCACCCCTCATTCTCATATTTGAGTAAACTGAACAGTCTGTCCCTACTCAATCTCTCCACACCATTCAGATACTTCCCTACCTTATCTTCTAATCATTAATACGCTCATCTGCGTGCAGCTGTAAGATTAAGAAAACACTTCCAAAAATCACTTTTAGGCTTCTGGGGTATATCTCTTTTCCAAGGATCTCAAGCATTCTAGCCCATTCCCATTAACATTAAATAAATTACAAGCTTCAAATTTACAAGTTGCTTTTGAAAATCTATTGTGTATTTTAAATGTTCCTACTCACGGACTTTCATTTTCCACCCCACTTCATCTAATCTTCATTAGCCTACAGGTTTCTCAGAGCTGCAACTCTTATTGCTACACTTCTAACCTTGCGTTAACATCAGAAAAATTTCAGGCTCCATTACCAACCACACAATCTCAGTACACATGCTAACTTTAAAAAAGAGATTTCTCTTAAAAGACAGATTTAAGTTTCTCTGCCCTCCTGAAGAAAGCAGCACTGTGGTAAAGCCTTTACATGTTCTTTAAACAGGTGCTCAGCTCCCAACATGATTTGATTTTGTTAATTTCCACTGCAACCTCTCAAACATTTAGAACCACCACCCTCACACAGAAGAAAAAAAATTCAATGTTGGTATGATTCCATTCTAAAGAAATGCTTTTGAGAATAAATTTTGCACTATAGAAAGATTTCCCTGACGGACTTATCCTTGGAGTACCGAATTTTTCCATCCCCTTGAACAGACATATCCAACAAGATAAGATAGTTCTGGATTAAGGGGAGGGTGAGGAAGTAACAATGGTTACAACTGAAAATGAACCTATCTCTCAGAAGCAAGGCAAACTAAAAAGTGGCAAAAAAAGAATTAGTTTTGAATTGCTGCACATAAGGCAGATCTGCTCCAAATAATGAAGTCACTACATGCAACCACCTTGGAATTAATCTATTTGAGTCAAAATCTGGCTAAAATAAAATGAAGACTTTATAAACTTATGCTACTTAATTTCTATATTAAAACTGACACAAACCAACACATCTCCTACCTATTCCTCCAGGTAAACCACAGCTCTGACATAGAAAGCTTTGAATTAGTCAGAGAGTCTTAGAAAACATATCTTGTCTCATGAGTGTACCAAAATGTTTAACGTTTGTTAAAGCTGACCCTGACCCCTACCCCCATTTCTTAAATAAGCCCAGAATTAGGACTCAAAATTTAATGAAGCAGGCTGTTCCCTATATCCTCTGAACTGCATGCAGGATAGATCCCTGCCGATCCATTTCACAGAAAAAGAATCATGTTTTAAACCTCAGAGATGCAACTCATTTGTGACAAGCCAACTTCCTTGTTTCCAACAAGTAACCATCTTGATGGTAACAACAGGAGATATATGTAGTGCCATGAAGTCAGGTGATGTCGATTTTCACAAAGCCTTGACTATCTATTCACTACATTAAACAGATCAATATACCATGTTTGGAAAAAGCATGCTAAAACCCAGAAGTCACTCAAAACACTATTAACTCTATCTGTGGCTTTGGCCAGAAATTCAACTAAAATTCTACTCTTATGTTCGCAGAGAAAATATGAAGAAAATTTAATTCCTGTTGCTGTAAGAATGCTCTGCAGAATTCCAAAGCTAAAATGTTATCTGCTCTCAAGAAGTGCTCCTGTCCAGTTCACAAATCTTCAGGAGTTACATACTGGCCTACTATCAATCTGCCTTACACATGAGGCTAAGGTGCAATGTAACACTTAGCAACTCAGGTTGACAACCATTAGCTGAAAAAATATGAAGTGTTCTACCACTACCATGACTGTAAATTAACTACAGAAGTCTGAAATACAAAATTAAATTCCAGACTAGATGGATCTGTTCTGATAAAAAAATAAATAAGTAAAAACCCCATCTCTTCAAGAGTGTCTCTCTTCAGTAGCACTTATAACAGCTCTTCAACCCTGGGCTTTGATATACCTCAGAACACCAAAATGGATCAAAGAACAGCTACAGACCATTTTAAAAAAAGTGTCTTCAACACATGGCAAGGCTACTAGCAAAAGTTCCCTTACTGTCAGAAGAAAGTGAAAGAAGAAATGGAAGATCTTAGGTTAAACAATGATCTGAAAGGCACATACTGCCAAAGTATAGTGTTAGAAGTAGCTAGCCCACACTATCTCTGGTACACTAACAGGACAGTCTGCAAACACAAAACTGCAAAGAATGCATCCATGTTGGATTGAGTCATCTTTTCCGACACTCTTCTGCAGTGTTCACATAACTCTTCTGCTTGTTTCAGTTTTATCTACCATTTACTCACCAAAGCAGCTCCCTGAAGCACTGGATTCTGAACACTTTAACAGGTGCTGGTTGGTATAAAGGCCATATTAAGCATCCACAGTGAGACTAACCAGGATTGGCACCTTGCAACCGAAACTAAGTCTGTCTCAAAAATGTATCTTGTATGCTTGTATGCTTGTATCAATGTATCAAAATTGTATGCTTGAAACCACAAAACTCAGTGAACTATAATGCTGATGAGCCACCACTTTAGTGAAGAAATTCTAGAATTTTACCTTGGAAGGCAGTAAGCAAGTTATCTTCACTCAGGTTAACTCTGGTAATCAAAGCCATCATAGCTCTATTCATCTTCTCCAGGTCTACCTCCTGGCATTGGAAATTGAGCTCCCATGAAGATTGCTAGAAACATGCCCATCAGTGTCATGCTCATCTATACCTCTTCCCTAGAGCTGAGATGTATTTGCTGTCTTAGACACACAAGCATAAGGGATTTCACCTATATCCCACTACAAATGTATAGTCTATTGATGCATCTGAAAATCTTACATCAGGCTTTCACTTTCTACAGGCTAGCTCTGCTATGAATGGAAACATCATTTAACAGAAGGTTTTGAGAAAGTGAACATCAGTAGGTTAAAATCCCACAACAATTACCAGCACTAAACAGTTTATTTTTTTACTAAAGTTCTTTAACAAGGATTCAAATAACGATCTGACTCAATTGCTTTTCAATTACATTAGTTTATACATACACAGCAGAATATGAGTCTCAGCACCTTCCAAAAATCCCTGGGACATTTCCTATATCATGACATGCTCACACCTTCACAAAAGAAGTTAAATGACTTCTCTGTAAACACCTGACAAGCTCTCATGGTTGAAGGTAGTAACACAGCTGTAAAGTCACTTTTTGACTTGTCCTTTCAGACAACACAAAAATAATATAATCCATAAAAGGCATGTTGTACAACAAGCACTTCATCTTAAAATACATTAACCTTCTGTTATACAAAAGTTAAACTAACTGTTCAACACTGCACTGTCACCTGATTTTCCTGGTGAATTTTACCAAGGTTTAAGAACTGCTGTGTTTCCTTTCCAAAGACAGGAATGAGACTGCCTACAGAATGTGCATATTTGAGGGTCCAAGTGAGTTTGGAGGCTAGTAGACGAAAGAAATGCAGCATACAGCTACTGCTGGGAAAGAGGCCATCAGCATCAAATTACCACAGGCATGTGAGAAACTTGGTCACAAGCCAAGGAAACCCTTCTGAAATAATTACTCTGCAGAAGCTTCCCACTGTAGTTGGTATATCCTGAATTATCTGAACACGTGAAACAAACCAACTCCTTTCATTGCCTCGCTTGGCTGGTACAATGCCAAGATTAATATAAATCCACAGCAATAACAGTCTTAGGATAGAAAAAATACACCACACCAAAGTATTTAAAAGCAGAATGGTGAAACATAGGCAGGTTCAGGTAAGATGCGAGGACACAAGTGGTACAGCAATAAATCAATACAGATTTGTACACACTGCATTCTTTCAAGACTAGTATTAGGGAGTCAACTAGTCAGGCTGGATTACACAATCTAAACGTGACTATTTTAAGTGAGAGATTCTGGCATCGCTCATAAAATTACCTATAGTCAGGAGCAACAGATAAATCATTATGCAATAAATACATCTCTCTAACTTGACTTAACTTACATTCACCTGAAGTGTTGCCTGCTGTTGATCTCCAAGCCTTTCTGTATAGATGAGAAGATTCATGTGGGTAAGTGGGAAGCACAAGCACCTCTGTCTTAAGTATCTCACTGGCCTCCCCAAGAACACCTGCTAACCAGTGAAATCAGTAAGCTATAGTTTTATTTTAAATGTTTCTTTTTAAAAGAAAACCAAATCTATTTATTCTCTCAGGTGTATCACATTGGCCAATGATGCTATACCACCAATACGTAGAATAATCTATAACCACCAATAAAGAAAGATTTCTTCTCTACTATGTAGTACTGAAAAACTGCACTACATAGTAGAGAATTGTTTTAAATCAGGAACTTTTTTCCTGAAATCCACTTCACATCTGCAGAGCAATATATTTCCACTACTTTTGGTTGTGGTTCTGCTCCAAATCAGAGTATTAGAGTAATTCAGATGTAGTATAACTTGCAAATCTGGT